CTCGACGACGACAAGATTGTAGTTACGCATTGTGAAAAGCGATAATAATGTCTACGGCGATTGACATTTTTACCATTTTTCTCGAGTTTATCTTTTAACGTTTGTTCCATGTCATACCTTTATTTCTATTCTCTCAGGAATCAGCGATAACGATACTCGGATCTATGATTCATTTGTCGATATATCTTGAAATAATATTATCACGTCGTCGTTACGTTATTGTCATCGTTAATAAATTATTGAATTTTATCACGTTTATACACTTGCATAAGCGCAAGCATCTGTAAAATATTTATTCATCTTTGTTCTTTATAAAAAAAAAAAAAAAAAAAAGAAAAAAAAAAAAAAAATATTACCATTCTTTAATCGCATATTAATTGTTACAACGCGTATTTAATCGTAATATAAGCTTAAAGAAAAAAAAAAAAATATATATATATATATAATATATAATATATAATTTTATCGAACGAATGAAAAATAAAGATGATTGATTCAATCGTTAATTCTTATATAATTTATTATCGAGACGAGATGGAGTGGAGTGTAGGGGCGGGGGCAGGAGGGAAGGGAAGGGATGTTAATACGGAATGGAAGGATTTAAAAAAAAAAAAAAAAGGAAAAAGAAAAATTTTACGAGAAATAATCTTCTCTTTTCGCATACATATATACAATACGTCTGTGTAGAATAATCTATCGTATATCGATAGAAAAAAAAAAAGAAAGCAAGAAAGAAAGAAAGAAAGAAAGAAAGAAAAGATATATGTATTTGTAGTCGTTGGCACATCGCGATGATTTACAATTTGCAACGGTTAGGAAAAGGCGAAACGGTTACGGTGTAATCGCGTGTAATTAAGCAGTCGATCGGTCTCGTGTTATTAGAGACGCCATTTAAGCGTTACTTGTGCCAGTCGTACTGAGAGTAAAGGGTTCGAGTGAGAAGAGAAGTATAGTGCGTTGGTCGTTTCGTAGGCGGTCATCGATGAAAGGAGGGAAAATAAAAGGAAAGAAGAAAGGTGGGGGAAAAAAAAAGAAGAAAAAAGGAAAAAAAAAAGAAAAGGGAGGAAGGACCACGCCCGCGGATGTCGCGGATGAACGTTCAACCAAACGTGTGTTCGTGTGTGGGTCGATGAGAGAGAGAGAGAGACAGAGAGAAAAAAAGGGAGAACATAAAAAAGAAAAGAAAATAGTCGAACTTATTTTAACGATCGATACTTCGAAAATACGTAAATTTATAATTGATATTTGTGTCTACGTACATAATCAAAGTATATACGTACATAATCAAATATATATATATATATATATATATATATATATATATAATCGTTCTCATTTTTGAATTTATTTATAATTTAAACGTGTTAAATTGGTCGTCGTATAATACAATTTTTTTTTTTTTTTTTTTTCTTTGCGAAAGTGATCGGTGCAAATTTAATATTCATTAATTTACCGTAGATATTAAATTTCGATTATACTTTACTATATATATATATATATATATATTTTTTTTTTTTACACGTTTTCGTATTCATAAAAAATTTGCGTTAATTGAATATTTAATTTTGACAATTCGAAAAATGAAGAAGACAAAGGAAAAATAAAAGAAACAAAGGAAGGAAGGAAGAAGTGAAGAAAATTGTAGGGATACAAAAAAAAAAGAAAAATTTGCTCGATTATCCTATTAATATTAATGATTAATATTGACAATAGAATGATTTTATAAATAATATTTTATATTATTTTATGGATTTATTTTTTGATAACGATCGTGCCATAGCAAAGTGGTATTAGAATATATAGAAATTGTTAGATACAATATCTCTGAGACGTCATTTGTAACTATATATCCGTTCGGCGTTAGTTTCTCTTTGATATAGTATAAATTCGAAGCCCACTGACGTACGATCGATCCCAAGGCCCATACGTCTGTCAAGTATCGTTCTCGTACGTAAGGTGATCGAGAATCCCTTAGGTAAAGACTAGTAGTAAAGGAGAAGGAGACCCTTGACAATCCGAGAAGAAACTCTCTTAAGCTGGTCTATGTTGTAGGTACTATTGCGTAGCTAGCCAGGTCTATCGAGTGTCTCTCCCTTTTTTTATCCATAGAAAAATAAGTGTCTCATTCCCTTTCAATACGATTGCCATCCTCTTACACACTTTATTTCTCTTTCCTCCCCTCCCCACTCTTTTTTTCCTATCTTTCTTTCTCTAACCTACACGTTGACGTTCTCATCAATAAATAAATTCTAATATCTGATTCGAGAAGAATCGTCCATTTCTTTTTTCTTTTTTTTTTTTCTACTTTAATCTACAATTCGAAATAAGGAAAAAGAAGAAGAAGAAGAAGAAGAAAAAAAAGGAAAGTACATCGATTAAAATTTTGTAAATCCACATTGTTTGTTTAGAATCGTGAAATATTTCGTTTATTTTTTCTTTTTTTTTTTTTCGTTTTATTTTTTTGGTTTTGTTTTTTTTTCTTTTTTTTTTTTTTTTTTTTTTTTTGGTGGTGGTCATTTATTTAAGCGTTTTCAACGCAATGTATATCCTTTATACGATTTCATTTAACGTCTTTCGTTAGATAAACTATAGCTCGGATAACGTATTTTCAAACTATCCATAATCCGAGAGTTTATTTTTATTAAATATTCGAATATTAAATTCTATTTGAATGATACTTCCCGAAGCTTAATTTAAGCTAGGATTAACAATCTATCCTACCGACTTTACTGTTGGAACAACGCGAATACTTTTTCAACCGCTAATTGGCCGTATAATATTCATTAATTTCGATTTGCGAGAGATAAAAGAAAAAATATGATTATAATTAATAGGTGTACGTGATGTAAAAAAAAAAAGAAAAAGAGAGAGAGAGAGAGAGAGAGAAAAGAAGAAGAAGATACGGAAATCAAGAAAAAAAGAAAAGAAAAGAAAAAGAAGAAAAGTGAAAGAAAACGACCGAATAAAAAAGAAAAGAAAAACAAATAAAAAAGAAAAAAAAAACAAATTTAAATAAAATAATACCTTTATTTGACTCAGTTGAATGCTATTGTATTTCAGTATATTGAAACAGAATAGAAGAACAATTTTGATGGAACAATCGTATCCAATGATTGGTAATAAAAGTCGAATGTACGATAAAACATATAAATAAAACAACGAAAAACAAAGAGAGATCTATATTCTTACGAAGTCATGGGGATATTAACGGACTATAAAATGGTGCGGTTTTGTAGCTAATTTCCATATCGAATCGGGCAACCGGCGTGAAATAAAAAGCCTCAACCGGTGGCGATCGATCTGTAACGAATGTGATTTCGCATGTCCCGGAAATGCCTTTACTACATAGTTACGCGTCATTTAATTTAAAAGTTAAAAATCCAATCCTAGTAGGAAAATATAGAATTCGAAACGAACTTTTTCTACATGCGTATTTAAAAAATATATTAAATAGCATTTAAATATTAAAATATTCGTCGTGGATATTTCGAAGAATTCAATATTCAGTCATATTCGTTGCTTTATTTTTCAAATATCCAAATCATTTTTTCGAAACACTCCAATTTTATATACTTGACTTAAAATATACGAAGATGCGTATGTAAAAAAAGAACAAAAAAAAAAAAAAAGGAAAAAACAACAACAACAAAAAAGAAATTAAGAAAACTAAAAAAGTAGCAGGTATATCGAAATAGTTTTCATTTTCAAAACACGGATATGACTTTTGTTTAAAAATAATTTCTTTTTTTCTATTTTTCCATTCAAATTTTTTTATTTGTAAAATAATCACTTGCAATCGTTGAAACCAATCTACGTACAATACAAACTATATCTTTAAATGTTTTTATTTATTTATTTGTTTGTTTGTTTATTAAATAAAAAGTTGAAAGAGAAAACAAAACAAAAAAATCATGTATACCGTTATAGTTTTCATTTACAAAATTCTTTTTCTCTCTTTCAAATTTTTAATTTATAAAATAATTTCATTCAATCACTTTGTTCAATCTACATACAATGTAGGATATAACTTTAAATTTATTTATTTATTTATTTATTTATTTGTTTGTTTATTGAAAAATAAATTAATAAAAAACTAAAAAATAATCAGTTCTACCGATCTAGCTTTCATCTACAAACTTTGTTTTTTCTTTTTAAATTTTTAATCTATAAAATAATTATTTTCAATCACCGTAAAAAATTCATATATAATATAAAATATATCCTCAAATGTTTATATTTATTTATTTATTTGTTTATTTATTTATCTATAAAAAGATAAATTATTGAGAAAGTAAAAAATAATCGTGCATAACTATCTGCTTTTCATTTTCAAATTTCATTTTTTCTGTTCAAATTTTTAATGTATAAAATGATGATTTTCAATCACCGTAAAAAATGTACATACAATATAAAATATGTTCTCAAATCTTTTTATTTATTTACTTATTTTTGTTTATCAAAAAGTAAATTATTGAAAAGAAAAAAACTAAAAAATAATCAGTACTACCGATTTAGCCTTTCATTTTAAAACTTCGTTTTTCCTCGCAAAATTATTTAATTTCTAAAAATAATCACTTACAACCATTATAACAAATGTACATACAATATAAAATATATTTACAAATGTTTTTATATATTCATTTATTTTTGTTTATTAAAAAGTAAATTATTGAGAAAAAAAAAAAACTAAAAAATAATCAGTACTACCGATTTAGCCTTTCATTTTGAAACTTCGTTTTTCCTCGCAAAATTATATAATTTCTAAAAATGATAACTTACAATCATTGTAACAAATGTACATACAATATGAAATATATCCTCCAATATTTGTATTATTTTATTTATTTATTTATTTTTTTTTTCTTTTTCTCTTTTAAATTACTACACTTTGTCTCTATAAAATGGATAGTGTGAAAAAGAGAAAGGGAAATGGATAGACGGGTTGCGGGCTTTCACACGTTCGGCCATTTACAAAAGAACCTTTCCATCTTTTGTTTCAGGGCAACTACGATCGCCACGGATAACGGAACATCCATCGGACATAATCGTGGCAAAGCACGAGCCGGTGACGTTGAACTGCAAGGCCGAGGGTAAACCGGATCCCGTGATAGAATGGTATAAGGATGGTGAGCTCGTGCAGACGTCACCAGGGGACGCCAAGTCCCACCGGGTGATTCTTCCCACGGGATCCCTCTTCTTTCTTCGAGTTATGAACGGGAAGAAGGAACAGGACGGTGGTGTTTATTGGTGCGTCGCAAGGAATCAGGCTGGCTCGGTACCTAGCAGAAATGCCACCCTCACTGTTGCTGGTAAGTAAATCCCTTTTATTTTCCTTTTTTTTCTTTTTTTTTTTTTTTTTTTTTTTTTATTTATTTATTTATTTATTTATTTATTTATTTATTCTTTCTATTTATTTTTTCTCGTCTTTATTTCTCATCATCATTTGTCATTATTACTTTTCTAAGATATACAATAAATATGTATATGTAATCATTATCATTCTTTTTATATATTTTTCTATTCTATTCTTTTTTTTTTGTTTCATTCATTATGATATCTTGGCGCAAATATATATATATATATATATATATAAAAATGTAAACAAATTTTTGTACATTGTTTTTTCTAATATTTACGGATACAACGTTACATCAATATGTAATTTTACCGAGAAAAGGAAGGAAGATAATTCTATTCTAAAAAGAGGAATTGAATTGCGGGGCGATTCTTCGTTTTCGAGGAGAAACGAGAATTCCTTTCTCGAGACGTTGCAATAATACCGATAACAATGGCACCCCTTGGTATTAGCAATAATGATAATAACGGGCATTCTTCTATTGTTGCTCTTAGAAGAAAAAAAAAACAAACAAACGAACAAAAAAGAAAACAAAAAAGAGTTAAAAAAAAACAAAAAGAAAGAAAAAGAGATATAAAACATGGTAACACGCTAGAAATTAATTAACGTACGAGCAATTGCATCCTTCAGAGAGTAATATTAAAAATAATAATAATAATAATAATAATAATAATAATAATAATAATAATAAAATAATAATAATAATAATAATAATCACGACGACGTGATCTCGTTACGAAAATTTATTCGGGATTGAAGGAAAAGATAAAAAAAGAAAAAAATGGAGTAAAACGAGAGAGAGAGAGAGAGAGAGAGAATAGTGTGGAAGTGGAAGAGGAAGAGGAGAAGGAGGAGGAGGATGAGGATGATGAGGATGAGTCGGAGGGGAGGATGGTAGAGAAACGAGACAAAGGATACGCGGTACGCATCAGCAATGACTAAACACACACGTTCCTCTTATGTGTGGGTGTAACCACGGGAAAATCACGTGACACGCGTAAGCAATGCCGGTCCATTAGTGGCGGCGATTCGCGCGATTAGGTAGGCCTTACTGTCTCGCGTTCTGTCCAAAGACGAGAGCTTGCAGCTTAGGCAACAACCAACAATAATATTTCCTTTTCTCCTTTTTGTCGTATCGCTGCACCGTGGGTGGTTCAGCCAACTTCGAGTATAAAAAGAGATTTCTCTCTCTCTCTCTCTCTCTATTTTTTTTTCTCTTCCTTCTTCTTTTTTCGTTTTCTTTCTTTCCTTTTTTTTTTTTTCTTTTTTTTGCTCTTTCCTTTACTATCCTGCGTTCATTCGAATAACTTGTTTGATATGAGAACTAAATAATACTTTACGTACTCTCTTATAAATAATTATGATAAAATTGAATTTATCATTTATAAAATATTTTCTTTGTCAAATAAATCATTAAATATGTGACTTTTAATATCGTACAGATTTACAACTGTATTTGTGTAAATGATTATGAAGAAAATAAGTTTATATCATTTATTGAATTTTGATCTTTTATTTATATCCTTAAAAGTTTGAACTTTTAAAGTCTACGCACTACTATATCTGTATTTTGTAAATTCTTCATTTTTCTTTTTTTTTTTCTTTCTTTTTTTTTTTTTTTTAATTAATTATTATAAATAACTATTAGATGTAATTATTATATAGGTACAAGTTATATACAATTTGTATTTAACATGATATAGTTATACCGATATATATTATATTATGAATTACTCATAATATCATATAATTCCTCTTTGTTTAGAAACGATAATAGACGCTTGATTAATATGTATGAACACAATAATTGATCAATTGTAACGTGTAAACGAATCTTTATATTCCAATTATAATATTCAATATGTACATTATACATTTGATAGATTTCGAATGTTTCATGAGATACAATAAATATATATATATATATATATATATATATGTCTGGATTCCTGACAATGTTTCGTATGCCACGTTAATTTTTCATAGTTTCGTAATTTAAATTTTGAAATCGCCTTTTATTCGACATATCCAGAATGTACAGGATTGGTGACTATTTTTCGAATGCAGGCTTAATTTTTTCAAAATTTCATCATCGTATGATTCTAATTTTAATACATAATATATATATATATATATATATATATATATATATATATATATATAGCAGATGTTATGGACTTTTTGTTCCTTTATTCGCTTTTAACTCTTTTCATAATGGCGTTTAAAATGAAAGGATAAGATCATTCTCGCATATCCAAGATGGGCTATTCATTATTTGCATAACTCTAAAGATGAATCTTGATGTAGTTGTGTCTCTTCGAATTCCTTTTCTTTTTGTCTCTGTTCTCTTTCTAAGTGAAAAAGAGAGACAGAGAGAGAGAGAGAGAGAGAGAGAGGAGAGAGGGAGAGGGGGGAGAAAAAAGCCTTTAAGGTTTATAAAAGGCATCGGACTCAAGGACAACAAGCGCGCATATTGATATGAAAAGACATTTCGCGCGTCTCTCGCAGGTTGTGCACCGCATGACGAAGATAAGACGAGATGGTGCGTGCGAGTCAGGCATAGAAAAAAAAAGAGAGTGAGAGAGAGAGAGAGGGAGAGGGAGAGAGGGAGAAATAAAAGAGGGGATGGTAAATAAATGGGTGGGGCTACCTCGTGAAAAGGAAAATATAGAAGCTTATGCTCGAGCAAAGGATCGGCAAGGATGTAAATTTTCTTTTTCTCCTTTTTCTTTGTAATAATATCATTCCATTTATAAATAAATAATTAAATACAATATAACATGTGAATCGTAATAAAGTCAATCGTTCGTACAAATATATATTTCTAATAAATAATGAATTAATAACAAATAATTATTAATTAACAATGAATTTGTCTAATCAACTAATCGAAATAAAATTTCATTATAAAATATAATATTTATGAATTGTTCGTATTAATATGATATCAATAAATAAATAAATAAATAAATAAATAAATAAATAAATAAATATTCTATATTATATTCTATATTATTTATGATACTCGTTTGTAAATAAATAATTAATCATTTGAAAGATTGAAACGATAGACTTTTAAATTATTTAATATCGTACATTTATAATCTTCAACTAATGGATAATTTAATATATACGTCAAAGTTGTTTTTCATAAAATAAATAATAATATCGTACGTTTCCTGTTTAATACGACCATTTGAGAGTATCCTCTTTATAACAAGTTGTTTTACTTATTCTCTCGGCTACGCCTTATTACGCTTTGAATTCCGTCGTGCACGAGATACATCGAACTCGTGGACGATGTCGTGTATCCGTGCTAAGAGTATATACCGGATTTCGATCGTCGACGTGCACCCACCCGGTCCGTAGGCGATACGCCGATAAAAGCAGAAACCGGTTTCCACGTGCTGTTGCCACCACCTCCACCATCATCTTCACCACCACCACCACCTTCACTACCATCTCCACCACCATCGCCATCACCACCACAACGACGATGACGACAAGGAGGAGACCAGAGTACATTTGTTGCTCTCTCTCTCTCTCTCTCTCTCTCTCTTTTTCTTTCTTTCTTTTTCTTTTTCTTTCTCTTTCTCTTTCTTTCTCTTTCTTTCTCTCTGTGCGTTGCCCGATTTACTAAGGGACGGGAAAACGCGTAAAAGCTTCCGAGACTGAGATCTCGACACTTTCAGATTTTTTTTCTCCCTTCCCTTTTTTTTTCATACCTTCTTTCTTCTTCTTCTTCTTCTTCTTCTTCTTCTTCTTCTTTCGTTCTTTCTTTCTTTTTCTTTTTCTTTTTTTTTTTTTTTTTTTTGATTTTTTCTTTTCTTTTTTCTCTCTCTTTTTTTTCTATTTTGGTTTTTACTCGGGCTACATATAATACTTTGATATAGTCTGGATTCCTGACAATGTTTCGTATGACACGTTAATTTTTCATAGTTTCGTAATTCAAATTTTGAAATCGCCTTTTATTCGACATATCCAGAATGTACAGGATTGGTGACAATTTTTCGGATGCGGGGTTAATTTTTTCAAAGTTTCATCATCGTATGATTCTAATTTTAATACATAAACGCGTTTATATTTTTAAGATAAAATTAGATCGTACCTTTTGAATTTCATCGAGCTTTGATATACGTACTACGAATTGAATTTTTAAATCGTCTTTTATACGGTAGAATATTTTTGAACAATATTTTGTTACAAATTTTTCGAACGCAGCGTCAATTTTTCAAGATTTCACCATCGCATATCTCTTATTTCGATGTAACGTATTTATATTTTTTAAGAAAAATTAGATTGTACTTTTTAAAGTTCATCGAACTTTGATATACGTACTACGGATTTGTAGATCGTTTTTTTTATTGGGTAGAATATTGTAGTACTATAAATTTATAAATTGTCCTCCATTCGGTAGAATATTTTCGTTTAGGAATGGTAATAATTTTTCGTATATACCGTCAACTTTTCACCATCGTCGATTTCAATATAATGTGTTTACATTTTGAAGAAAAATTAGATCGTATTTTTTAAAGTTCATCGATCTTTTATGTACTTACTACAAATTTGCAAAGTATCTTCTATCCGACATATTTTTCTTCAGGATTCTTGACAATTTTTCGAATGAAGATTTTCGATTACTTATCGATTGACGGACCGACTACGATTTAATTAATTTATAAATCAATTTTAGTTTTACTTTGGAAAACTGAACAAAATATCGATATTCGAAAAGTTACATAGGAGGTAATCGTTTTTCATTCGGTAAAATATTTCGGTACAGCATTCGTAACTATATTTCGAATTTCGTATCAATTTTTTAAAGGTTTCCCAATGGCGTCTGATTTCGAATGGACGATTCATAGATATAAATTTATTTCCTAGTTTTCACGTTACATCGAATTTTCCGTAATATTTCGCAAAATATAATCCCTTTTTTTTTTTTTTTTTTTG